CGCTCGGCCTCTGGAGGCCAGTCCTGGGCCCCAGGACCATCAGGAGTCGGCCCGTGCCGAAAGACAGCTGGTCTCCTGGATGGGGTCGAGAGGTCGGGGGGGGCTGTCGTCGTCGTTGCGGTGGTGGCGTTCATCGCGGTCTTTCTGGTCGTCGTCGTCGTCGGCGGCGGCCCCGTCGGAGGCATGAGGAGGAGGAGGAGGAGGAGGAGGAGGAGGAGGAGGAGGCGGGGAAGGAGAGGAGGAAGGAGGATGGAAGACGGGGGAGAGGGAGGAGAGGGAGAAGAGAGAAGAGCGAGGAGGGAGGGAGGAGAGGGAGGGGAGCAAGGAGGGGCGGGGAGAGGGAGAAGCACAGTGGAGGAGGGGGAGGGGGTGCGGGAGAAAGGGGGGGGGGCGAGGAGGAGACAGGAGGGGGAAGGGAATAAGGAAGGAGGAGGGAGGAGGGCAGAGGGGGGGAGAGAGCGATCCTTCGTTGTGGGGGCCCTGGCCGCCGCCGAAGCAGTCGAGAGCGCCACTGCCTGCAAAGGCAGCGTTCCTCGCCCTCCTCCTCCGTTTCTCCATTCCCCCTGCTTCTCCTCCTCCTCCTCCTCCTCCTCCTCATCATCATCATCATCATCATCCTCATCCTCCTCCTCATCCTCCTTTTCCTCCTCCTCCTCCTCCTCGATTCCTCCATTCCTCCATTCCTAAATTCTTCCTCCTCCTCCTCCTGCAAGAGGATGCAGCGAGACTACACTACGGGCTTCACATTGCCAACGATGCCACGAGAGCCCTCCAGGAAACACTCTGAGATAGCCCGGACCCTCCTCCTCCTCCTCCTCCTCCTCCTCCTCCTCCTCCTCCTCCTCCTTCTGCCCATCACCCTTCACCCCACCTTCTATACCATACGCCACACGTCCTACCCCTCTTCCTTCATTCGTCATCCTCCCGTCTCCGCATCCTCGAACGATGACGACGACGATGGTGGATACGACGGCGACCTCGACGACCACGACGCCAGCGACGACCACGACGACAACGACGACGACGACGACGACGACGCCAACAACGACGACGACGACGACGACGACGACGACGACGACGACGGTGACGATCACGACCACTACCACGACCACGACCACGACCACGACGGCGACGGCGACGGCGACGACGACCACTACCACCACAAGAACGACTACCACGAGCAAAACGACCACCACCACTAGCACAGCGAGTGCGGCCGTGACCAAGACCACGGCTGTAACGACCACGGCGCCGACGACCACTACCACCACGACGACGACCACCACCACGACCACAACCGCGACGACGGTGACCACGACTACGACGGCGACCACAGCGACGACCACGACGACGACGACGACGACGACGACAACGACGACCACGACCACGACCACGACCACGACCACGACCACGACCACGACCACGACCAAGACCACGACCACGACCACGACCACGACCACGACCACGCCGACGACCACGACCACGACCACGACCACGACCACGACCAAGACCACGACCACGACCACCACGACGACGACGACGACCACGACGACCACGACGACGACGACGACGACGACGACGACGACGACGACAACGACGACGGCAGCGGCGACGACCACGGCGACGACCACGACCAAGACCACGACCACGACCGCGACGACGACCACGACGACCACGACGGCCACGACGACCACGACGACCACGACGACGACGATGACGACGATGACAGCAGCGGCGGCGGCGACGGCGACGGCGACTACGACGACGACGACGACGACGTCGACGACGAAAACGCTGCCAGCCAGGGCAGCCGGACGAGCGGCAGCTGCATTCGGAGGCCCGCGGGGTGGGGCGCATGCGCCGCTTGGTGTCGGCACATGGCGGCGGCGGCGGCGGCGGCGGGCGCCGCCCCGCCCCCTCGCGCCTCCTGCGAGCAGGAGGGAGAGGGAGGAGGAGCAGCAGCTGGGAGGAGGAGGGGGAGGAAGAGGAGGAGGAGGAAGAGGAGGAAGAAGAAAGGAGGAGGGGAGGAGAAGAGGGGGGGAGGAGGCCTCCTCACACTCCGTCTGCTCACTCCTGCTCCTCCTCCCACCTCTTCCTCCTCGTCCTGCTGCAGGAGGGGGTCCTCCTCCCTCCTCCTCCTCCTCCTCTCCTCCTCCTCCTCCTCCTCCTCCTCCTCCTCCTCCTCTCCTCCTCCTGCTGATCAATCCCCTTGTGAGGCAGGGAGGGGTAGTGGAGGGAGGGAATAATCGGAACGAGCGGGTCGCGGCGCGGACGGCCCTGAGGAGACTCGCGGACCTCCCCTGCAAGGGGGCTCTGGCTGCCGCGAAAGGCCTGCCGGCCCAGCTACTGGAGGACGATGGTTGATTCGTCCTGCCCATGCTCCACCTCGCCTCCCTCCTCCTCCTCCCCTTTTTCTCCTCCCTCCTCCTCCTCTCTTTCCTCCTCCTCTCTCCTCCTCCTCCTCCTCCTCCTCCTCCTCCTCCTCATCCTCCTGGCCTCCTCCCTCTCCTCCTCCTCCTCCTCCTCCTCCTCCTCCTCCTCCCCTCCTCCTCCTCCTCCTCTCCTCCTCTTCCTCCCCCTCCTCCCCCCCGCCCTCCTCCTCCCTCCTCCCTCCTCCTCCTCCTCCTCCTCCTCCTCCTTCTGCCACTCCTCCTCCTCCTCCTCCTCCTCCTCCTCCTCCTCCTCCTCCTCCTCCTCTCCTCCTCCTCCTCCACATCCTCCTCCTCCTCTCCTCCTCCTCCGCCTCCTATCTCCTCCCTCCTTCTCCTCCTCCGCCTCCTCCTCCTCCTCCTCCTCCTCCTCCTCCTCCTCCTCCTCCTCCTTTTCCTCCTCCTCCTCCTCCTCCTCCTCCTCCAGCAACCCAGGCCCAGGCTTCCCTTGCCCCGGGCCGGCTCCAGGACCTCCGCGCGGTGCCTGGGGGATCTCGTCGCAGCTGTCGCATGTTCGACCGCCTTTGACGTTAACAAACACTGGAGTTTCAAACGGTGCTACGGGATGGGTGCCAGAGAGTGGCGCCCAACGCTCACCCCGAAGGAGCGCAAAGCCCAGCGGGCATGGGCACAGTGGTCGGCTGAGCGAGCAATCCACCGCCTAACCCGCGAGGTGGAGCAGCTCCGCAAGATGCAGTGTATGGACCCCAACGTCGTCAGCTACAGCGTTGGGAGCAGCGAGTGGGAGCAATATGGACAGTGGGAGGCTCCGCAGGACACGGCAGGAACGTGGGGGTCAGAATGGCAGTGGCAGCAGCGAGCAGAGCCGGAGGCGAAGCACGAGGCCAATGCCATCAGCTACAACGACGGGACTTTGTCGCACGACGCGAAGGTCGATCCCGACGTCCACAGCCACAGAACCGTGGACGACACATGCGAGAAGTCTGGAATGGCGGCAGCGGCAGTGACGAAGCACGAGCCCGATACCATCAGCTACAACGACGAGGCTGTGTTAGCTGACGCGAAGGTCGACTCCGACGTCATCAGCTACAGACCCGCGGACGACACATGCGTGAAGTCTGAGATGGCGGCAGCGGCGGAAACGAAGCACGAGCCCAACGCCATCAGCTACAACGACGGGTTTGCGTCGCGTGACGCCAAGGTCGAGCCCGACGTCATCAGCTACAGACCCGATGACGGTGCATGCGAGAAGTCTTGGATGGTGGCAGTGGCGGAGACGAAGCACCAGCCCAATGCCATCAGCTACAACGACGGTGCATGCGAGAAGACTTGGACGGCGGCAGTGGCGGAGACGAAGCACGAGTCCAATGCCATCAGCTACAACGACGAGGCTGTGTCACGTGACGGGAAGGTCGAGCCCGACGTCATTAGCTACCGAGCCGAGGACGGTGCATGCGAGAAGACTTGGATGGCGGCAGTGGCGGAGACGAAGCACCAGCCCAATGCCATCAGCTACAACGACGGTGCATGCGAGAAGACTTGGACGGGGGCAGTGGCGGAGCCGAAGTACGAGTCCAGTGCCATCAGCTACAACGACGAGGCTGTGTCGCGAGACGGGAAGGTCGTGCCCGACGTCATTAGCTACAGACCCGAGGACGGTGCATGCGAGAAGTCTTGGATGGCGGCAGTGGCAGTGACGAAGCACGAGCCCAATGTCATCAGCTACAACGACAAGGCTGCGTCGCATGACGAGAAGGTCAAGCCCGACGTCATCAGCTACAGACCCGAGTACGGTGCATGCGAGAAATCTTGGATGGCGGCAGTGGCGGAGACGAAGCACGAGCCCAACGCCATGAGCTACAACGACGAGGATCGGACGCGCGGTGCGAAGGTCGAGCCCGACGTCGTCAGCTACAAAAGTGGAAAATGGCCGAGTCAGACGTGGAAGCGTTTCTCCGCGAGCGAGCTGCAGAACAGAAGGATTTTGAAGATAAATGCATAACACGAGCCATGAGATGGAAATCCCATCCTTTCGTGCGACGTGTTGCACACCTTGCGGCCGCATCACAAGGCAGTAATGGGGGATGGATTCACACACAGGTTGGAGCCGGTCGTACTCAACGTTACGAATAGAAAATGGAGTCTCAAAGGGCAACACACCGACGAAGCAGGACGGCGGCAGTGAAGTTGGAGACCTTCTCTCAGCTCTCGGCGCAGCCATTTCCTCAGCGTCGACGCCTTGAACCACTCCCTGCTGTCGAGGGCCTTCTGAGTGGAAGGTGGCACCGCGCCGTGCGGTCCCGAGCAGAGTAGATCGCTACGCGATCAGGCAGAGACTCCAGAAACAGTCTTCCTCCTCCTCCTCCTCCTCCTCCTCCTCCTCCTCCTCCTTCTCCGCCTTCTCCTCCTCCTCCTC